TCATTAGGTTATAAACATTCTCCTCTCTCCTTAAAGTTGCTATACATTTATAGAATTTGTGACTCCATTAATGCTTCAATTTTTTGATGCCACACTGTATACAGCACTTAATTATGGAGAATAGGAAAAAGCAAAACTAAAATAAGGAGGGATATGTGATATATCTTTAACAATCTGTTTTCTGATTCCCTTTAGATGCCCAGTCAACCAGGATCACACAAAGGTTTCACTCTATTGTAGGTGTGTGAAAAGACTTACTAGTCTCATGCATTTTATGTATGTTGATTTCTACGTTTTGACTCATCTAAATAAACACAGCAAGATTCATTTACAAGGGTACATATGCTTTCTGTTCAGCCAGAAAAAAAATCTAAAGCTAGATGTAGAAAAACAATGATGCTAAAAAACTCTTCAACTTCAGACTGTATTAGGCTGAGAATTTCTGCAGTAAAGTTCCTGAAAAGTTTGCAATGGACATGGAAAGTGCACGAAGTACCGCTCCAGGGAACATCATACAGATGAAACACTTTAATCCACTAACATAAATGCTCTCTTAATTTTTTCCCATTGGTCTTTGGAATGGGTTTTATTTGCTCTTGACTAAGGTCTGGATGCCAAGATGCAGGAAATATATTGCCTACGGAACAGGTGTCTGTTTAATCCCCAGGTATGATCTTATAAGCCACTTTAGCTAGAGACTGCCTGGTGGGAGCCTATAAAATGTTTATGCTGTAACTGCAGGTTCCATAATAGGTTTGGAGCAGTGTAGGCTACTACTACACTACTGCACTCCCTCCCCCCAGAACAGGAACTCCTAAAGGGTGCCATATATAGGTCTACCAATATAAAAAGAGGGAGATAAATCCATATTCCCACCATTTTCTTTTATCTAGTTATTCAATTTAACTCAGCTACCTCCCTAGAAATGAGTATCAGAGAAAAGTATGCTCAGATAGGTGTTACTGGGAGTAGCTAACTTACCACTTTCCACAATGGCTATTCTGAAGGTTGGGTAACAAATGGGGTAGTGGCCTCCTTTTCCTTCCCATTAATAATTAGGTATCTAGTTAAGTCCATTAGACAGGGAGAGTAAACTGCGGGGAGAACTAAGTGTGGAGGATACTCAACTTATCTCTTGTAATAAGGTCCCTTTTGACTAATTCTCTACTGAAGTTCTCATTTTAATCACAGGGTCTTTCAAAGTGAATGCTCACAATGCACATCTTCTGTACTTGAGTTACAGGACTCTTGGGTATTATATTCAGTACTTGATCGTATTTTGGCATATCAGGACAGTTTGGTTGAGAAGATGTTTGTTAGTTCCTCAACTGTGGGCTGTGTAACTGTATTCCTTTCTCAACTGGCAACACGAGAGATATGAGAAGGAATGGTGGATCTTTATAGTGATGCAGTTAGGAGTTTGTTAACTGCCTTTTGGAAGTCAGTGTAGGAGTAAGTAGTGTTGATGGGTTCAGTGCGGGTTGTTTCCTTAACTGTTTTAGTTAACCAGCCACAGCAACAACCAGAAACACATGAATTAGGAATTTGTTTTAGGTACTCAGGTATGGGAGTGGCTCTACTCAATGTTCGGCTTAACTGTTTGGTGGCAAACTGCAGTGCCCCATTTAGAGTGGCATGATCTCTAGAAAGCCGGCTGGGACTCATAAGGGGCTTTTGAAAAGGTGGGACTCCACAAGAAGCTAGAGGAGGCCATTCAGGAATTGGTTCCAGTTTGGGTACACAATGGGAGCAATGGGAGAGTCTTAGTCCTATCTCTCGTAGTATATGGACTGGTGTGCTAGCATCCAAGAGTTTAGCATGATACAACCAGGAATTAGGATTTAGAGGTTTCCAAGTTGTAGAATATTTTAAAAGGCACTTAACCTGCCAGGCAAGACTCTCAAGAGGTGTTAGGTTGGGCACCACAGGGTCCTCGTCTTCAGAGGAATCCCACTCTTCCCCAGAACTCTCATTTAGGTAGTTAGCATTTTCTTCTTCCTCACTTTCTGATTCTGATAAGGGGTCAGGAGAGGGATTTCTAGGACCCATTAGAATAGAACAACAGTATAGAAAAAAAGGTACCAGAAAAAGGTAACAATCTAAGCCAGTAGAACACTAACACTGGCAAATAGAAGCAGAAGATGAGAAATCCTTTCAATAGGATTCATTTGTCTGTTTCTCAGTCTGTTACACACACACAGTATGCCTCTGGCTTGCACCACTGTGCAGTTCTTCAAGATTATGTTGTATATTCTTCACTTACAAAGAAGACAGCTCAGTTCTCAGGACCAGTTCAGTGTGTAAAATTTAGTCACTTACCAGTGGCACAGGTCAGAGTCTCTCCTTCAAATCCTGGCTACCCAAGAAGAGAAGGGGTCCTCATCTAGGCAAGCTGATTTTCTTAGCATGGTCTCAACTGGTTGTGAAATTATGAAGAGACACTTTGTGTACTCTTTTTTGCTGGCAGGGATATTATATCTAGTTCGTAATGAAAAGAAACTCAGTGGTCGCCTTCTTTGTCCGCTGGTGCAGCAACTTTTGCACAGGGGGATGGTGGGACGAGGTGTCAAGGATCTGTCTGGTGTGCACGGATCTGATGTTTTCCATAGGTGGTGCAAATGTCCTTGGAAACTGGTGACTTAGTTGTTGGACTACCTGGAAAGGTAGGCTTAACCTGTGAATGAGAAGACTAGAGACATGATATTAAAGCCTGAAAGCACTGGGTAACATTATTATCTATCTAACTTCATAGACTAGCCAAGCACATGATGTTGAGCAAGAAGGCTTATCAGCTTTCCCATCTCTAGCACATAGGTTTAGGCAGAGTTTCCTACTGGGAATGGATCCTACCATGACAAAATTTGGAAGAAGAGCCTGGGGCCACTTTAATCTTTCATTGGTACATATCTGGGCTAGTTTGTTTTTTATTGTGCAGTTCTAACCCAGGAAATTACTTCTGCAAGAGCAGATTCCTTATGCTCTAAACTCCAAATAGGGAGCTATAAAAGATATCTTTTTTATCTTTAGAGGTGCTTGTTGGGATTAGTTCTAGGGGACCTGTGCTGGTTGTAGAGTTCTATACGTTAGAACTCTTGCTGGGACCCCAGAGGTTGTGGTCCTATGACCATACTCTACAGATAATGAGGGAAGATGGCAGGTATAAATCTTAATATAGCAGGAGTTACAATGAATATAAACAGCTTAAACTGACAATTAAAAGGCAGACATTCAGACTGGATCAACAAAACAAAACAAGATTTAACAATATGCTGCTAACAAAAGATATCTTAAAGCAAAAAGACCCAAAAAAGGTCAAAGCTAAAAATATGAAAAAATATATATCAGGTAACTGTGGACCAGAATAAAGCTGGGACAGCAATCTTAATATCCAACAAAAAAGATTTCAAGCCAAAAAAATATAAGGGACAAAGATTGATGATAATACTAGTAAAAGGAAAACAATGAAAATGATACACTCATCATAAACACCTATGACCCTAAAAGCACATCCTCAAAATTTCTCTAGTAACAACTAGTAGAACTGACAGGGGAATATAAGCAGGGATACAAGCATTCTGAAAAAGTTAAAATATTAGTATACTTTAGATATTATATTATTTAAGTATACAAAACTCTATACCAAACAGAACAGATATTAAGTACACACATACACACACACACACACACACACACACACACACACACACACAAATAGTTCATGCATTAGGTTATAAAGTATAACTAGATTCCAAAGGGTCAATTTCATTTAGACTAAATTCTCTAATCATAATGCAATAAAAGTAGATATTAAAGGTTAAAAGTAATCCTATGTTAGGAAACTAAATAGCTCATGAATTAATAAAATGGAAATAATAAAATATATTAGATATAAAACTGAATAATAATATAACCCCACAAGCAAAAATTTGTGGGGTATGGCCAAACCAGTACCTAGAAGAAATTTATAGCTTTGAATACATTGATGAGGAAACAAGGAAGTTTAAATACACACAAGTTAAGCATTCAATTCAAGACAATGGAAAAGCACAACAGCAAAATAAGCAGAAAGGAAATAATAAAGGCAGAAATTAAATAGTATATAAAAGAATAATAGAATGATAAAACTGAAAGACGGTTTTCTGAAAATATGAATAAGAAAAACGAAATTAGTGAGAGTAATCAGGAAAGAGATTTTAAAATACTGGTGAGAGTTATCAGGAAAGAGATTTTAACTGGTGAGAGTTATCAGGAAAGAGATTTTAAAATACCCCCCCAAAATTAAAAACATAATATATGCTAAAATGTGAAAACCTAGATAAAATGGCTAAATTCTAGAAGAATATAAAACACTAAAATTTGTACAGAAAGAAATAGATAATTTGAATAATACAGACCAGTATTAAAGAAACTCAAAAGGTAACAACCTCCTATTAAAAACACCAGGTGCAAATGGTTTTATAAGAGAGTTCCACTAAACTTCCAAGGAAATTAATACATATTTTATATAAATTGTTCCAGAAAAAAGAAAAATAGCATAAAACTCCTTTTATGAGGATAATAAAATATTAATTCCAAATCTAGAGATGAAGCAAATAAGAAAGGCTCATTTCACTTGCAAAAATTTCAAATATTACCTAACAAAATGTAATAGTGTATTAAAGAAAAAAAGAATGTCATAATCATGTAGAGCTTATCATAGGAAAGCAAGAATATCTCAACTTCATAAAATTTATAAATATAAGTCACTACAGCAATAAAATAAATTAGATAATTTTATTAACTATGAATATTTAACCATTCTTGGTTCTTGATCAACACCTATTTATGTTTTAAAAAACAAGATGCTCTTATCAAACTAGGAAGAGAAAGTTACTTTCTCAACAAGGTAAAAATTATCTACAAAAAACTTTCAGCAAATATCCTAAATGAGAAACTTCAGATATATTCCCTTTAAAAATTAAATTAGGGAATTCCCTGGTGGCGCAGTCGTTAGGAATCCACCTCGCAAGGCAAGGGACAAGGGTTCTATCCGTGGTCCAGGAAGATCCCACATGCCACGGAGCAAACTAAGCCCTTGCGCCACGACAACTGAGCCTGCGCTCTAGAGTCCGCGTGCCTAGAGCCCGTGCTCCACAAGGAAGAATAGCCCCGTTCGCGGCAACTAGAGAAAGCCCGAGCGCAGCAACAAAGACCCAACGCAGCCAAAAATAAATAAATTAATTAATTTAAAAAATGAAATTAGATAAGGATGATAAGGACTGATATTGTGTAACAAAGTACCAGTGTAACAAAGTACCAAAGTCCTAATCAATTTTTTTTTAAAAAGGTGTGAGAACTGGAAAAAAAGATATAAAACTACTAATTTACAGATGATATAGTCATCTAACATTAAAAAAGCCTAACTTATAAACTATTAGAGCTAATAAAAGAGTTCAACAAAGTTCCTGGATCTGAGATTAACCTATGACCATTAATTTATTTACATAGAACTTAAATATTTCCAGGTACTACTCTAGGAACTCCACAAGTGTTAACTCATTTAAAATTCTCCTAACAATCCTATAAGATAGGTACTTTTACTGTCCCCATTTTATACATGAGGCTTAAGCTACCTGTCCAGGGTCATATATCTACTAAGTGATAGAATCAGGATTTGACCCCAGGCACTCTTAACACCAGCAATACTAACCATGAAATGTATTACATACATCACTTGCACAACAGGGGCAAAAAAAAACCTATAAAGGATTTAAGAACTAATCAATAATATGCGAGACCTCTATGAAGAAGACTGTAAAATTCTAATGAAGGACATAGATGATTTAAAATAGACAGACATTCCATGCTCTTGGATGGAACAATGAATATTATAAAGAACTTTTTTCCAAATTAATTTATACAATTCCAATATGTTAAGAATAAAATTCCACATATAGCTAAACAAACTATTTAAACAGAAGAGTAAAGTAAATATCATGGCCTACAGGATATTAACACATATTATTACACATGTTACAGAAGCCACAGAAATTAAAGTAGGGTGGTTAGTATAAGAACAAATAGTCCAATGGAACAAAGCTCAGAAATAGAGCCACATAAGACTTAAGAATGTAGTATACAGTAAAGATGGCACATAAATCAAGGGGGAATGAATGCATTTAGTATATAATAATATTGGTAGTAACTGGCTCATTACATGAAGAAAAATAAAGCTGTATACCTATATAATGCCACATACAAAGGAGGACTCATGACAGGTTAAAGACCTAAATAAGAACTGTAAAACTATACAGTTAAAAGAGTATAATGCAGGAGAATATCTTTGTGACTTAGGGCCAGAGAAGCACTTCTTAAAAAAACATAAGGCACAAGACCAAAATACGATGAATTCAATCACATCAAAATAAGTATTTTTGGATTGAACTAAACACATCAAGAACAAAGTTAACTACAAATCAACAACAACCAAAAAGATAGCAGTCTCAATAAAGAAATGGACAAAGGACAAAAATATCCAATTTACAGAAGAGAAAATCCACAGGCCATTAACTATATGATGAGTAAAGAGATATCACATTATTCTATTATTTTGGTAAAAATTAGAAAGCTGGAAAATGCCAAGTGTTTGTGAGGGGACTAAAGGAACTCCCTTAGAAACCAGCACTACTGGTGGGATTACAGACTGGGGTAACCTTTCTGAAGAGCAATCTGGCAGCACTACTTAGTCAAACTATTTGCACAACTCATGATGTAGGAATTCCACTCTTGGGTATATATAGCAGAGAAATTCTCCATAAGACCAACATGTACTCTGGGGAGTCATATTTGATGGTAAAGAAATAGAAGCATTCCAGGCTTCCATCACTGGAGGAGTGGATAGGTTAACATGTGTTAAAAGCACATTAGAAGTATACATAGCAACATGGATGGACTAAAGGCACAGGTCTGAACGAAAAAAGCAAAACCAAAATATCAAGATCCCACTCATGCCATCATGTAGCAATGATTTCCAAAATGAAAGTTAGTAAACTTCTCTAGTTTCAAATACACACTGAAGTGGATATGGTCTGGCTTCGTGTCAGTACTATTCCTCTAAAAAACATTTCTCTGGCTTCTACTCATTCTTTATCTAATTTAGTTCTCTGCAGTGTCTGGCATGTATTAGGGGCTTAGCAAATTTTTTGGAAAAATTAATGAGAGAATGATGAAGGCCCGCTGTAAGGAACCATACAAGCATGTTTCACTTTTAGTCTAAGGAGACAAAAATTCCTAAATTATATTCAGGTGATTTGGTAGTATGTTGTACAAATGAAATAATTGTTTTAAACAAGATCAACAAAGATAATGCTACTAAAGCAATATAAAGGTCACTGCTTATAACTTCATCTTTAAGAACATGAGTGCAAATACTTTTAAGTTTATAATATTATTACCTACTTCAATCTGAAAACAAAAGGAAAATTTAAAACATACCATAAGTATTTTATTGAGACAGGTGTTAACTTTTTTTAAAAAATTAATTAATTAATTATTTTTGGCTGTGTTGGGTCTTTGTTGCTGTGCCCGGGCTTTCTTTAGTGCGGCGAGCAGGGGCTACTCTTCGTTGTGGCGCGCGGGCTTCTCATTGTGGTGGCTTCTCTTGTTGCGGAGCACGGGCTCAGTAGTTGTGGCTCCCGGGCTCTAGAGCACAGGCTCAGTAGTTGTGGAGCACGGGCTTAGTTGCTCTGTGGCATGTGTGATCTTCCTGGACCAGGGCTTGAACCTGTGTCCCCTGCATTGGCAGGTGGATTCTTAACCACTGCACCACCAGGGAAGTCCCCAGGGGTTAGCTTTTAATTCTTCTGTCCTCTTATATTTTTACTATTTTCATTTCAACCGGATTCCATTTGCATGATTATTGATTGGCTATACTTCAGTAATTATGTTGCTCAAAGCATTCTTTAAAAGGTTCACCCTACTTTTTTTGTTAAGCAAAAATAAGACAAAGTTTCTTTGAAGGCATATGTAAATTCTAGAGTGAACCCATCACTGTTACCTCTTTACATTCCATGAGTAATAATACCCTCATATCAAAAGTGAATTAACCACTTACTCTGTACACTCCCATGCATAATTTACTTTGACAGAACCATTTTTCTGTAATTTCAGAACTAAATACCCTTACCATATGAATTAGTTAGTTTGTTTAGTTTAGTTGCTACAATGTGTTCTTTTCCCTATAGCATTTAGAGAAAAAGTCAAGACACAGGTAACCTAAAGGCAGTGAGTTTAAGCTTAATATAGCATCTTTTTTTTTTACCAGTTTTATCGAGGTATAATTGACAAATTACATATATTTAACATGTACAATGTAATGCTTTGATATACGTATTCACTGTGAAATGGTTACACAATCAAGCTAATTAACATACCCATCACCTCACAGTTACTATTTTTTTTTTTTGCATGTGATGATAACACTTGAGATCTATTCTCAGCAAATTTCAAGTACACATGATCAACTATAGTCACTATGATGTACATTACGTCTCCAGAAAGTTTGTATGCTTTGATATCTATTTCCTCCACCCGCTAGCCACTGATAACTCCCATTCTCTTTATTACTATGAGTTCAACTTTTTAAGATTCCACATATAAGTGGTATCATACAGTATTTGTCTTTCTGTGTCTGGTTTATTTCACATGGCAGAATGTCCTCCAGGTTGACCCATGTTGTTGTAAGTTGCAGGATTTCCTTCTTTTTAAAGACTGAATTGTGTATGTATATAAATGTCACATCTTCTTTATTCATTCATTCATTGATGGACACTTAGATTATTTCCATATCTTAGTTACTGTGAAAAATGCTGCAATAAACGTGGGAATGGAGATATATCTTTGAGATAATAATTTTATCCTTTGAATATATACCAAGAAGGGGGATTGCTGGATCATATGATAGCTCTATTTTTACTTTTTTGAGGAACCTCCATATTGTTTCCCACCAATGTGTATAAGGGTCCTCATCCTCACCAACACTTGTTATCTTCTGACTTTTTGATAACAGCCATCCTGACAGGTGTGAAGTGATACCTTATTGTGGTTTTGATTTGCATTTCCCTGATGATAAGTGATGTTGAGCTCCTTTTTATATACATGTTGGCCATTTGTAGGTGTTCTCTGGAAAAATGTCTATTCAGGTCCTTTGCTCATTTTTAAAGCAGGTTATTATTAATTTTTTTGCTATTGAATTATATGAGTCCTTATATATTTTTTGATATTAACATCTTAAGGGATACATGGCTTGAAAATATTTTCTTCCATTCCAAAGGCTACCATTTTTGTAATCTAGTATCTTTTTTTTAACTTTTCAGATAATGTTCCAAAAATACTGAACAAAAACATGTTATTAATCCCCCCTGCCAAAGCTGGTCAAAATATAGTTAGGCTGACCTCTGGTGGCCAGATGCCTCATCCCTCAGTAATGACAAAATGGTATGAAGTCACCTCTCATTTGTGGGTAACCAAATAAAATATGGTAAATGAAATAATATTGTTAGAAATTTCACATATAAACAAAGCAACAAAGGTAGCAGGCACCCAAAGCATAAGGAGAGCTGAGCAATTAAAGGCCACAAAATAAGAAAAATTTCTCCAAATATTAGTTTGTTCTAACTTTTAGTTCACCAGTTGATTTTACATGAAAAACAAATGGTATATTCAGTGGTTCCCAAAGTAAGAATAGTTTTACACTATCTAATACTGTAGTCACTAGCCCCATGTTTATTGAGCAGTTTGAAATGTAGCTAGTGTAAAACAATTCCCAATTCCAAAGACTTAATAGGAAAAAAAAAAGAATGTAAATTAACTCATCAGTATAATTTATGTTGAGTACATGTTGAAATGATAGTTTGGATATAGCTGGTTAAAAAATTAATGCCCGTTCTAGGTTTCTTTCACCACAGCTGTCTAGGCATTCTACATTTTAGCTATAGTGAGATTATAAATGTTATCAACTATATTCCATGCACTCTTAAACCTCTGCTTTCCCTCTAGCTGATTAACCTAAAATACCCACCCCTCTTGCCTTTTCAGAAATTAGACATCTTGATAATTTTGAAATTATGGGCAACCCAGCTGCTACCATATTTACTATTTCAACTAGCATTTGAATACCTGCAATGTTTCAGGGATTAGGACTATGAAGAGAATAGATGAATAAATTATGGCATGCTCATACAATAGAATTCTAGAGCAACCTATATGTACCTCAGTTTCCTCTTCTTAAAAAGACAGAAAGAACTTACAAGGGTTGTGCCTAAGGATTAAATGAAGTAAAGTGCTTAGAACAGTGTCTTGGCATATAAGGTGATGAAATAAAATTCATATTTTATGGCAAGACAAGAAAAATTTAAACATAAAAATTTTCTCTGCCTGTTTGGGCCTCCTCCCTCCCCTTTAAGTGGTGTTGTGTATCTGCACTAACTAAAGCTCCTTAGGAGATAACCTTCCTTCTTAATCTTGTAAGGAGTCAAGATGACCCATGACCTACTCTCTTTGTAACTATAGATCTGGATTGTGTAAACTGTCAATAATACGTCATTTGACGTATAACCCTTTGTCTCAAAAACATATATTACTGGGCTTCCCTGGTGGCGCAGTGGTTGAGAGTCCGCCTGCCGATGCAGGGGACACGGGTTCGTGCCCCGGTCCGGGAAGATCCCACATGCCGCGGAGCGGTTGGGCCCGTGAGCCATGGCCGCTGAGCCTGCGCGTCCGGAGCCTGTGCTCCTCAACGGGAGAGGCCACAACAGTGAGAGGCCCGCGTACCGCAAAACAAAAAACAACAACAACAACAAAAAACATATATTACTGTGCTTAGACCTCAAAAGGGCAGGGCAGTTTCAGAGCTTCCTGAAAGACTGCCTCACAGGTTATAACCCTCAGGTTGGCTTGAATAAAATTCTCCATTTCTTTCCTAGATCAACCATTGGTTAATTTTTCCTCGACAATGGGTCCAAAAGGTGTTATTGTTATGAAAATATCAATATGAATAAACCTCAAAAATAATACTGAGTGAAAAAAGCAAGTTGCACATAGGATCATTCATATAATGTTAGAACATGAAAACAATACAAGATACTTATTCAGAGATTTATTCATATATCATTAATACATAAAAATTAACAGTAAATTCAGAAAATCCATTGCTGCTGGGGAGGAAAGGTAGTTCAACAGGAAAAAAGGCGTACAGGCTTCTTTGTAATCTATTTCTTTAGATGTTAATAATTGTCTCAAATAATTCCATTAAAAAACACTTTAAAGACTTAGTTCCTGCCGGAAGGCACTCCAAATTTCTTTATCTTACCATTACCCTAAACTCTTTTTCCATTCTGTGTTGAAAACATTGCTGTTATGCACCTCTGTAAACAGGCCTCGAAAGCCGGTACATCTAGAACAAACTGTACCTAAATTAACCCGTGCCTCTCTTCCCATACTGCCTTACACGTTTGCAGACTCTCCACCAGACGCGGACCTAAGGCTTAAAAATACTGCGGCCCAACTCCATCTGGAGACCTCGGAACATCCTCCTTTCCAGTAGAAACCAGGCCGCCGCCCAGCACTCCCGCACGCCCTACCTCTCCCTTCTTGACGGATCTCCGAACGAACCCCTCCTCCCCTTCAGCGGGGGCAGGGATTCGTTCCCTCAGCAGATTCCCTTTCTCACCCAAGGAGGATCCGTTCTTCTTCCTCGCCTCACTCCCAGCCGCAAGACACGACTAACCCTGGCGCCACCAGCTCGGATCCAACAGTCACTCCGGCGCAAGGCTCGCTCTCCTGTGGATACCACTTCCGGGGGCGCCAACTCCTCCTCCTCTTAGAAACGCCACTTCCCACTCGGAAAACGGTTTAAAACACCCTAAGCGCAAGCGCCCCGTCGGTGGGGTTGAAGGGGGTGGTCTCATCTCTTCCCACCCTCGCCGCTCTAAGCTCTCGCGATAGTCTCGCGTATTTCCTTCTCCCGCGGGAGTTATTTGAATGCTCTGGCGGTTACCACGCCCTCGGCTGTCGGCCGCCTGCTGACTGGAGTCTGAAGCGTACCTGTGGAGTCTCCGACCGTGGTCAGTCGGGCCAGCTAAAGCCGAGCGCGGACAGGCTTCGTCACGACAGGGTCCCGGCGCCATGGGGGCGGAGAAGAGGCTGCTGCCGATTAAGGAGGCCTTCCAGCTGGCGCAGCAGCCGCACCAGAACCAGGCGAAGCTGGTGGTGGCGCTGAGCCGCACCTACCACTCGGTAAGCGATGCGGCCCGCGGCACCGGGCCCCCGCCCCTTCCTTCCCCGGCTCGGCCTGGCCTCTCCCGGGGGCTTCCCGCGACCTTCCCGACTCCGCGCACCAAGACTCCAACTCCTTAACTTTCACGACCCGGTTCGGAGAGGCACACCCTCCCCCCCCTCCCCCGCCTCTTCCCAGCGGCCTCCGGCGCGGACCGTTAATCCTCTGGCGGTGAACTTGGAGAAGAGTTTGCGCGTACCGTGGCGACCGGGCATCTAGTGTAGGGCCGCAGCGTGGATCCTGAACGCGGTGTTGTCCTTCAGATCACCGCCCACATTTAATTAACGTAAACCTCGCCCCACTGTTAAATTGTATCAAATCACCAATTAGCAAATTAATCGTTAGGACTTGGCTCCTCTTAGTCATGTAAATACTGTTTGTTTCGTTTTTAAATGAAACCTAGAAGAATAGGACCATGAATTTCGGGAGAATAAATTATCTTGAGGTCCGGGAAAAATTGTAAGTCAGTATAGGGCTTGAGAATATGAGGTAGGATGTGAGTTATGTCAAAAGGAAATTGCTGTGTAATATGAAGGGTAATACGGTAAAATGCAAAAGCTGTGGTTGATTTTGGGTTGTTCATGAAGAAGCAGATTTTTACTAAACTGGTACCAAGGCATCATATTGAGAATTCAAGGGTGTTAAAAAAAAAAAAAAATCAGAGGAATCCTTTCACTGTCAAAATTCATGTTTGTTTTTTTCCTGGGAGAAATAAATTTCTCTGGAGAGAAATTTGTGCAAATTTATTTCCCCTTTGAAGGTTTGGATAATTGAGAGTTTACTAAATAATGATTTTAGTTTGTTTGCGTTAGGGCTGGTGTTTTCAGTGTCTTAGAGTAATGTTGAGAAAAAAGGATTTTATCCCTGCAGTTTGTGAAGGGTTTCTTTTCTCTTTCAGGTGGATGACAAAACAGGTTTTTATGAGGAGTTTGTTAATTACCTTAAATATGCTATGGTGGTCTATAAACGAGAACCAGCTGTGGAGAGGATAATAGAATTTGCAGCAAAGTTTGTTACTTCATTTCACCAGTCAGATACGGAAGATGATGAAGAAGAGGAAGATGGTGGCATTTTAAATTATTTGTTTACTTTTCTATTAAAGGTATACGAAAACTAGAAGTTCGAGGGAATGTTGTAGAAAATTTTACTATTTTAAAAGGGCCATGGGAGTTTGTATATCTTAGAGAATGAGTATCTGGTAATTGAGAAAATGTCTGAACGAATCTGCCTTTTGTAGGAAATATTAGAACTGTCATTAAGATTAAAAAGTGAACTTTTAAAAATAACTCCAGCATTAAATTTTTAATGACCATTCTAAACCAGTTCTTACATACATTTGTTTGAAATGGGTTCTCTAGTTCAGAAGTAAAGAGTTCCTCCGAAGAGGAATATGGTTTTGTAATTTAGCAGATACTTTAGACTGTGTATTTTGAGACTTTTATGTTATGTAATGTGTATTTAGCATGTATATATGGATCAAGGTAGCATTATAGTTTTTCTGCAAGGAATGAATTATTGCTATAAATTCTTGAATTCTAAACATAGAATTCAAATGGTATGTCATTATTTAGTAATGGTATGTGACTTGGAATAAATTTTGTTTTGTTTCTGTTTTAGTCTCATGAAGCAAACAGCAATGCAGTTAGATTTAGAGTGTGCCAGCTCATAAACAAGCTCTTGGGAAATATGCCAGAAAATGCCCAGATTGATGATGATTTGTTTGATAAAATTAATGAAGCCATGCTTATTAGATTGAAAGATAAAATTCCAAATGTAAGGATACAGGCAGTTCTTGCTCTTTCACGCCTTCAGGATCCCAAAGATGATGAATGCCTGGTGGTTAATGGTATGTATAGCTCCTTAAATCTTCTTTCAGTTTCACTGACTTTGTTAAATTCTCAGCAGGTGAATTTTCTTATTATGAAATATTATGGAAGAGCATAGTTTATATATACACACACACACGTATGTAAAAATATATGATTAAAAAAAATACCCAAGTAGCCACCATCCAACCTAAAAAAAATAGAGCATCATCAATACCTCTGAAGCCTATCTTATGTCCCTTTCTAGTTATATCACTCTCCCTCTGAATTAATGAATATCTTGAATTTTGGGTTCCCTTTTGTTTGTTTGTTTAAACAGTTAACCACATGTATATACTTCTAATTAATGTTTAAGTTTTGCGTATCATTTTGTATGTTTTGTGGATCATACTGTATTTTTCTGTGCTCTCAACATTATTTCTCATTGTAACATTCATCCATGTTGATATATTACTGATATACTGTTCTATTGTATGAATGTAAGACAGTTTTATTGTTTCTAATAATGATGGCCCTTCTAGTTGTTTCCAGTTATTTTCCTCTTAAAATACAGTGTCGTTGCTATGAACTTTCTTACACAGTACATGGCTTCTGGTGCACAGTTTTTCTAGGATATGTACCTAAGGGTGGACTTGTTGGGGATATGTGCATTCAGCTTTATTAGATGAGGTACTAGTGTTCTACAAAACATTTATCAATTTATATTTCCAGTAACAGTGCATAAACGTGTTCATTGAGCCATATCCTGTCTAGTGCTTGGTACTGTCAGATTTTTAAATTTTTGTTAATCAGGTTGTTTGTATCATATGTCATTGTTATGCATCTTTTTGTTTGCCAATTTTGTTTCTTCTGTATAATGCCTGTTAATGTGTTCTCATTTTTCTATTGGTTTGTCTTATTAATTGGATTTCTTTATATATTCTGAAGGGAAATCCTTGGTTTATATGAATTGTTAGGTCTTCCTGCTTTTGATGGATTATTTCACTGTCTTCCCTATGTCTTTTTTTGGGCAGAAATTCCTAATGTCAGAATTACCAGTCTCTTCCTGTATGATTTGCACTTTCTTTTATTTAAGAAATCTTTCTCTACCTCTGGGCTCATAAAGATAGTCATAGTCCAGTTTTCCATATATGCCTAGGTTTATTTTGGGAACTCGTCTGGTTTGTTTTTCTCTTTGTCCCTGTTACTACCTTTATAATTTTGATAACTGGTGGTAGTTGGTATTTTTTGGAGTTAAATGAGGGGCATAATAATATGTAAAACATATATGTTTAGTAGTCAACATATACTTGATTATAAAGCATGGGAAAATCTGAGAAATAGAGGTGAATAAATATTTAAATACAGGAAATGAGTTTTGTTCAATGAGTAAAATCAGAAGTTATTTCTTTTTAGGATTCATTAAAAATCAAAATAGTGAGCTCTTTATAAAGCCATATCAGTTTAAAATAAACTGGCTTCCATCCTAGACTTGTTTCTAAATCTTAAAGAGTAGCAAAGACATAATCTGAAGGATGGATTTTCCATGATCTTTAGGGTTATTTGTTTTCAGTTTTAGCCTTCCTGCCCAGTCCATTGACTAATTTCTAATTCTGTCCTTTTTAAGGGATGTTGGCAGAAAAAAATCTTCAGCTAAAATTAAATGTGTAAGACTAAAAAATGATTTTTATCATTTTAAAGATTAAATATCAAAATGTGGGTTATCTATGACTATGGCTAACTAAATAATATGTTGTTAGCGTACTAAAATGTATTGCTCTATTTTTAGCATATGCTACTTTGATTGAAAATGATTCAAATCCAGAAGTTAGGCGGGCAGTGTTATCATGTATTGCACCATCAGCAAAGACTTTGCCAAAAATTGTAGGGCGCACCAAGGATGTGAAAGAGGCTGTCAGGAAGCTGGCTTATCAGGTAAATAAGTCCAATATCTTATATAGACATGTTCTTAAAAGACAAGAAGCTGTATTCTTAAAATCCTTTTTTTTTTTTACATCTTTATTGGAGTATAATTGCTTTACAGTGGTGTGTTAGTTTCTGCTTTATAACAAAGTGAATCAGTTATACATATGTTCCCATATCTCTTCCCTCTTGCGTCTCCCTCCCTCCCACCCTCCCTATCCCACCCCTCTAGCTGGTCACAGAGCACCGAGTTGATCTCCCTATGCGGCTGCTTCCCACTAGCTATCTGTTTTATATTTGGTAGTGTATATATGTCCATGCCACTCTCTCGCTTTGTCACAGCTTACCCTTCCCCCTCCCCATATCCTCAAGTCCATTCTCTAGTAGGTCTGTGTCTTTATTCCTGTCTTACCCCTAGGTTCTTCATGACATTTTTTTTTCTTAGATTCCATATATATGTGTTAGCATATGGTATTTGTCTTTCTCTTTCTGACTTACTTCACTCTGTACGACAGACTCTAGGTCCATCCACCTCACTACAAATAACTCAATTTCGTTTCTTTTTATGGCTGAGTAATATTCCATTGTATATATGTGCCACATCTTCTTTATCCATTCATCCGATGATGGACACTTAGGTTGTTTCTATCTTCTGGCTATTGTAAATAGAGCTGCAATGAACAATTTGGTACATGACTCTTTTTGAATTATGGTTTTCTCAGGGTATATGCCCAGTAGTGGGATTGCTAGGTCATATGGTAGTTCTATTTGTAGTTTTTTAAGAAACCTCCATACTGTTCTCCGAAGTGGCTGTAACAATTCATATTCCCACCAGCAGTGCAAGAGTGTTCCCTTTTCTCCACACCCTCTCCACCATTTATTGTTTCTAGATTTTTTGATGATAGCCATTCTGACCGGTGTGAGATGATACCTCATTGTAGTTTTGATTTGCATTTCTCTAATGATTAATGAAGGTGAGCATTCTTTCATGTGTTTGTTAGCAGTCTGTATATCTTCTTTGGAGAAATGTCTGTTTAGGTCTTCTGCCCATTTTTGGATTGGGTTGTTTGTTTTTTATTATTGAGCTGCATGAGCTGCTTGTAAATTTTGGAGATTAGTCTTCTCAGTTGCTTCATTTGCAAATATTTTCTCCTATTCTGAGGGTTGTCTTTTGGTCTTGTTTATGGTTTCCTTTGCTGTGCAAAAGCTTTGAAGTTTCATTAGGTCCCATTTGTTTATTTTTGTTTTTATTTCCGTTTCCTAGGAGGTGGATCAAAAAGAATCTTGCTGTGATTTATGTCATAGAGTGTTCTGCCTATGTTTTCCTCTAAGAGTTTGATAGTTTCTGGCCTTACATTTAGGTCTTTAATCCATTTTGAGCTTATTTTTGTGTATGGTGTTAGGGAGTGTTCTAATCTCATACTTTTACATGTACCTGTCTATTTTTTCCAGCACTACTTATTGAAGAGGCTGTCCTTTCTCCACTGTACATTCCTGCCTTCTTTATCAAAGATAAGGTGACCATATGTGTGTGGGTTTATTTCTGGGCTTTCGATCCTGTTACATTGATATATATTTCTGTTTTTGTGCCAGTACCATACTGTCTTGATTACTGTAGATTTGTAGTATAGTCTGAAGTCAGGGAGCCTGATTCCTCCAGCTCCATTTCTCGTTCTCAAGATTGCTTTGGCTATTCGGGGTCTTTTGTGTTTCCATACAAATTGTGAAATTTTTTGTTCTAGTTCTGTGAAAAAGGCCAGTGGTAATTTGATAGGGATTGCATTGAATCTGTAGATTGCTTTGGGTAGTAGAGTCATTTTCACAATGTTGGTTCTTTCAATCCAAGAACATGGTATATCTCTCCATCTATTTGTATCATCTTTAATGTCATTCATCAGTGTCTTTTAATTTTCTGCATACAGATCTTTTGTCTGCTTAAGTAGGTTTATTCCTAGATATTTTATTCTTTTCGTTGCAATGGTAAATGGGGTGTTTTCTTTGTGTGTGTGTGTGTGTGTGTGTGTGTGTGTGTGGTACATGGGCCTCTCACTGTTGTGGCCTCTCCCATTGCGGAGCACAGGCGCCAGATGCGCAGGCTTAGCGGCCATGGCTCACAGGCCCAGCCGCTCCGTGGCATGTGGGATCTCCCTGGACCGGGGCACGAACCCGTGTCTGCTGCATCGGCAGGCGGACTCTCAACCACTTCACCACCAGGGAAGCCCAGATGGGGTGTTTTCTTGATTTCACTTTCAGATTTTTCATCATTAGTGTATAGGAATGCCAGAGATTTCTGTGCATTAATTTTGTATCCTGCTACATTACCATATTCATTGATTAGCTCTAGTAGTTTTCTGGTAGCATCTTTAGGATTCTCTATGTATAGTATCATGTCATCTGCAAACAGTGACAGCTTTACTTCTTCTTTTCCGATTTGGATTCCTTGTGTTTCCTTTTCTTCTCTGATTGCTGTGGCTAAAACTTCCAACACTATGTTGAATAAGAGTGGTGAGAGTGGGCAACCTTGTCTTGTTCCTGATCTTAGTGGAAATGCTTTCAGTTTTTCACCATTGAGGACGATGTTGGCTGTGGGTTTGTCATATATGGCCTTTATTATGTTGAGGAAAGTTCCCTTTATGCGTACTTTCTGCAGGGTTTTTATCATATATGGGTGCTGAATTTTGTCGAAAGCTTTCTCTGCATCTATTGAAATGATCATATGGTTTTTCTCCTTCAATTTGTTAATATGGTGTATCACGTTGATTGATTTGCATATATTGAAGAATCCTTGCATTCCTGGAATAAACCCCACTTGATCATGGTGTATGATCCTTTTAATGTGCTGTTGGATTCTGTTTGCTAGTATTTTGTTGAGGACTTCTGCATCTATGTTCATCAGTGTTATTGGCCTGTAGTTTTCTTTCTTTCTGACAGCCTTGTCTGGTTTTGGTATCAGGGTGATGGTGGCCTTGTAGAATGAGTTTGGGAGTGTTCTTCCCTCTGCTATATTTTGGAAGAGTTTGAGAAGGATAGGTGTTAGCTCTTCTCTAAATGTTTGTTAGAATTTGCCTGTGAAGCCATCTGGTCCTGGGCTTTTGTTTGTTGGAAGATTTTTAATCACAGTTTCAATTTCAGTGCTTGTGATTGGTCTGTTCATAGTTTCTATTTCTTCCTGGTTCAGTCTTGGCAGGTTGTGCATTTCTAAGAATTTGTCCATTTCTTCCAGGTTGTCCATTTTATTGGCATAGAGTTACTTGTAGTAATCTCTCATGATCTTTTGTATTTCTGTAGTGTAAGTTATTACTTCTCCTTTTTCATTTCTAATTCTATTGATTTGAGTCTTCTCCCCTTTTTTCTTGATGAGTCTGGCTAATGGTTTATCAATTTTGTTTATCTTCCCAAAGGACCAGCTTTTAGATTTATTGATCTTTGCTATTGTTTTCTTTGTTTCTTTTTCATTTATTTCTGCTCTGATCTTTATGATTTCTTTCCTTCTGCTAACTTTGGGGTTTTTTTGTTCTTCTTTCTCTAATTGCTTTAGGTGTAAGGTTAGCTTGTTTATTCGAGATGTTTCCTGCTTAAGGTAGGGTTGTATTGCTATAAACTTCCCTCTTAGAACTGCTTTTGCTGCATCCCATAGGTTTTGGGTCATCATGTCTCCATTGTCATTTGTTTTTAGGTATTTTTTGATTTCCTCTTTTATTTCTTCAGTGATCACTTCGTTATTAAGTAGTGTATTGTTTAGCCTCCATGTGTTTGTATTTTTTACAGATTTTTTCCTGTAACATATCTAGTCTTATAGCATTGTGGTTGCAAAAGATACTTGATACAATTTCAGTTTTCTTAAATTTACCAAGGCTTGATTTGTGACCCAAGATATGATCTATCCTGGAGAATGTTCCATGAGCACTTGAGAAAAATGTGTATTCTGTTGTTTTTGGATGGAATGTCCTATAAATATCAATTAAGTCCATTTGTTTAATGTATCATTTAAAACTTGTGTTTCCTTATTTATTTTCATTTTGGATGATCTGTCCATTGGTGAAAGTGGGGTGTTAAAGTCCCCTACTATGATTGTGTTACTGTCGATTTCCCCTTTTATGGCTGTTAGTATTTGCCTTATGCATTGAGGTGCTCCTATGTTGGGTGCATAAATATTTACAATTATTATATTTTCTTCTTGGATTGCTCCCTTGATCATTATGTAGTGTCCTTCTTTGTCTCTTCTAATAGTCTTTATTTTAAAGTCTATTTTGTCTGATATGAGAATTGCTACTCCAGCTTTCTTCTGATTTCCATTTGCATGCAGTACCTTTCTCCATCCCCTCACTTTCAGTCTGTATGTGTCTCTAGGTCTGAAGTGGGTCTCTTGTAGACAGCATATATATGGGTCTTGTTTTTGTATCTGTTCAGCCAGTCTGTGTCTTTTGGTGGGAGCATTTAATCCATTTACATTTAAGGTAATTATCGATATGTATGTTCCTGTTCCCATTTTCTTAATTGTTTTGGGTTTGTTATTGTAGGTCTTTTCCTTCTGCTGTGTTTCTTGCCTAGAGAAGTTCCTTTAGCATTTGTTGTAAAGCTGGTTTGGTGGTGCTGAACTCTCTCAGCTTTTGCTTGTCTGTAAAGGTTTTAATTTCTCCATCAAAACTGAATGAGATCCTTGCTGGGTAGAGTAATCTTGGTTGTAGGTTTTTCTCTTTCATCACTTTAAATATGTCTTGCCAGTCCCTTCTGGCTTGCAGAGTTTCTGCTGTAAGATCAGCTGTTAACCTTATAGGGATTCCCTTGTGTGTTATTTGTTGTTTTTCCCTTGCTGCTTTTAATATGTTTTCTTTGCATTTAATTTTTGACAGTTTGATTAATATGTGTCTTGGCTTGTTTCTCCTTGGATTTACCTTGTATGGGACTCTCTGTGCTTCCTGGACTTGACTATTTCCTTTCCCATATTAGGGAAGTTTTCAACTATAATCTCTTCAAATATTTTCTCAGTCCCTTTCTTTCTTCTTCTTCTGGAACCCCTGTGATTTGAATATTGGTGTGTTTAATGTTGTCCCAGAGGTCTCTGAGACTGTCCTCAGTTCTTTTCATTCTTTTTTCTTTATTCTGCTCTGCAGTAGTTATTTCCACTATTTTATCTTCCTGGTCACTTTTCCATTCTTCTGCCTCAGTTATTCTGCTATTGATCCCTTCTAGAGAATTTTTAATTTCATTTATTGTGTTGTTCATTGCTGCTTGTTTCATCTTTAGTTCTTCTAAGTCCTTGTTAAATGTTTCTTGCATTTTCTCCATTCTATTTCCAAGATTTTGGATCATCTTTACTGTCATTATTCTGAATTCTTTTTCAGGTAGACTGCCTATTTCCTCTTCATTTGTTAGGTCTGGTGGGTTTTTATCTTGCTCCTTCATCTTCTGTGTGTTTTTCTGTCTTCTCGTTTTGCTTATCTTACTGTGATTGGGGTCTCCTTTTTGCAGGCTGCAGGTTCGTAGTTCCCATTTTTTTTGGTGTCTGTCCCCAGTGGCTAAAGTTGGTTCAGTGGGTTGTGTAGACTTCCTGGTGGAGGGGACTGTTGCCTGTGTTCTGGTGGATGAGGCTGGATCTTGTCTTTCTGGTGGGCAGGTCCATGTCTGGTGGTGTGTTTTGGGGTGTCTGTGGACTTATTATAATTTTAGGCAGCCTCTCTGCTAATGGATGGTGGTGTGTTCCTGTCTTGCTAGTTGTTTGGCATAGGTTGTCCAGCAGTGTAGCTTGCTGGTCCTTGAGTGAAGCTGGGTGTTGGTGTTGAGATGGAGATCCCTGGGAGATTTTCGCCATTTGAAATTACGTGGAGCTGGGAGGTCTCTTGTGTACCAGTGTCCTGAAGTTGGCTCTCCTACTTCAGAGGCACAGCACTGACTCCTGGCTGCAGTACCAAGAGCCTTTCATCCACACAGCTCAGAATAAAAGGGAGAAAAAGTAGAAGGAAGAAAGAGGATAAAAGAAAATAAAGTAAGATAAAATAAATTAAAGCTATTAAAATAAAAAATAATTATTAAGAAAAAAAATTTTAAGTAAAAAAAAAAAAAACGGATGGGTATAACCCGAGGATAAATGGTGAAAGCAAAGCTATACAGAGAAAATCTCACACAGAAGTATACACATACACACTCACAAAAAGAGGAAAAGGGGAAAAAATAATAAATCTTGCTCTCAAAGGCCACCTCCTCAATTTGGGATGATTCGTTGTCTATTCAGGTATTCCACAGATGCAGAGTACATCAAGTTGATTGTGGAGATTTAATCCGCTGCTCTTTAGGGTGCTGGGAGAGATTTACTTTTCTCTTTGTTTGCACAGCTCCCGGGGCTCAGTTTGTGTCTGTGCCTGTAAGTCGCTGGAGGCCGTCTGTTCTGTTCTCAGACAGGACGGGGTTAAAGGAGCCGCTGATTCAGGGGCTCTGGCTCACTCACGCCGCGGGGAGGGAGGGGTATGGAGTGCGGGGCGAGCCTGCGATGGCAGAGGCTGGCGTGACGTTGCACCAGCCAGAGGCGTGCCGTGCGTTCTCCCGGGGAAGTTGTCCCTGCATCACAGAACCCTGGCAGTGGCGGGCTGCACAGGCTCCCGGGAAGGGAAGGGAGGTGTGTATAGTGACCTGTGCTCGCACACAGGCTTCTTGGTGGCGGCAGCAGCAGCTGCCTTAGCGTCTCATGCCCGTCTGTGGGGTCCGCGCTGTTAGCCGCGGCTCGCACCCATCTCTGGAGCTCGTTTAAGCAGCACACTTAATCCCCTCTCCCCGTGTACCAGGAAACAAAGAGGGAAGAAAAAGTCTGTTGCCTCTTCGGCAGGTCCAGACTTTTCCCCGGACTCCCTCCCGGTTAGCCGTGGTGCACTAACCCCTGCAGGCTGTGTTCACGCCGCCAACCCCAGTCCTCTCCCTGCGCTCCGACCGAAGTCCGAGCCTCAGCTCCCAGCCCTGTCCGACCCGGCGCGTGAGCAGACAAGACTCGGGCTAGTTAGTGCCGGTGAACACCGATCCTCTGTGCGGGAATCTCTCCGCTTTGCCCTCTGCATCCCTGTTGCTGGGCTCTCCTCCGTGGCTCGGAAGCTTCCCCCTCCGCCACTCGCTGTCTTCGCCTGCGAAGGGGCTTCCTAGTGTGTGGAAGCCTTTCCTCCTTCACAGCTCCCTCCCACTGATGCAGGTCCCGTCCCTATTCTTTTGTCTCTGTTTTTTCTTTTTTCTTTTGCCCTACCCAGGTACGTGGGGGAGTTTCTTGCCTTTTGGGAGGTCTGAGGTCTTCTGCCAGTGTTCAGTAGGTGTTCTGTAGGAGTTGTTCCACATGTAGATGTATTTCTGATATATCTGTGGGGAAGTAGGTGATCTCTGCGTCTTACTCTTCCACCATCTTCCCCGCCGTAATCCCTCTTAAAATACTTTTGAAAAGTATTTGGCACATAATAATTCAATTGAGATTTTTATAGACAGAGAGTGTAGATAATTTAGGTAGAATCTTATTGCATTAATGTGTTACCAGATATTAATTTTCTTGGAAATTCTGGATAATTTTCTTAGGTGAAGGAGATATTACTAGTTATAAAATACATAAATTATATTGAGTTTAATGGCCATTTTTTTATTATCTCTTTAAGGTTTTAGCTGAAAAGGTTCACATGAGAGCTATGTCCATTGCTCAGAGAGTAATGCTCCTTCAACAAGGTCTTAATGACAGATCAGGTAAGTTAGATATAATTATAGACAAAACATTAGTAGATTTTGAGGTTAGATTTAAAAGGTTTAGGAAAGAG